AGCACATATTCTTGCAATGGATCATCTTTGTTGAAACGCCAGAAGATTTTTTGATATTTTAAATCTTCATCGTTCATTCTTATTTGCAAAAACATTTTCTTTATATCTGCTGATAATACATATGAATCGTTGCGGCGAAAGAGTAGCTCTTATTTTTCTCCAAATAATACTGCAACATGAAGTTTTTTTCACACGGTTTATTTGTTGTAATACAACAAATAAACTATTCCTAAAAAACTTTATGTTGCAGTATTATTTGGAGAAAAATAAGAGCTACTCTTTCGCCGCAACAATTCATATTTATGAAACCGGAATCGCATGATAACATGTGCCAATTTCTCTTGAAGATTCGGTTCTGCCAGCTGAATATCATTAACACTCTTCCCATTGGTGGTTGCACAGCTCCCATCCAAGACGATTCGAAAACGTGCAAGGACTGGGTGATGTGGAATATAATATCCGGTGGCATGCTGCTCTTTTATCGTAGCTAATCGCATATGTTTTGATTCAATGGCCTCCCGCATGGAACGATGATACTCTTCTCGCACTCCATGAAGCCGCTCAAGTCTTCTTTCTAACTGATAAAATCTTTGCAATGCGATTCCTCTTGACTGACCCAATTCAGTGTCAGACTTTCGGAATGGTATACGTACAATGAATCGCCCATCTTCTGCTCTAATTGTTGTTTTGCGATAGTATTCAATGGCTTGTTGTTCCTCATTAGAAAGAACCTTTCCTACGATCAGCTCTTCCTCGCATTCCCAAAATCGTTGTAACAATTTATCTAAACGATGAGTTTCTTCACTGCACATTACTGCTCTACCGACGTACGACACAGAAGCTGATAATTTTGGTGTTGCTTCTATGGTACCAAAAATTGCATAACCAAATGTTGTAAGTTGTGCACATAAACCGATACTGCTCCATAAAACTTGGCCAATAAGGATTTCCGACCAAGTGTCTATGCCCAATAAAATATCTGCAAATCCAGCTCTATTAAATTTTGTATCGGCTTTAACTATATGTTGAAATTCTTTTATATCCGCTCTACATTCTGTTCTCTGCGCTATTGGTAACTGTTTCATTACTACGCAGACTTTAAAGATACAAATTCTTTCTTCATCATCAAACCATGGACTAAATTTAATCATTGTCACATAATTTGCTACATTTATTCCTGTGACTCCTTCAATTTCAATATAATATCGTTGTCTAGGTAAATTGGCTCGTATACAAATCTTTCAATAATTAAGTTCACTTCGGAACCCATATCAAACAGCACTCTTGCTAAAATTAATGCACCCACGTTGTTATGCAGCCTTACTAAGCCAGTAGTCAACACGGGTAATCTACGGAGCTGCGCTAATGAAAATTTTGATTGGTTGAGTTACCGCCCTG